ATACAAAACAGCATCAAAATATACAAATAACAAATTGCGGTTTGAATATTTGTTTTGTTAAATTGATAGTTTAGTTAAGAGAATCGGAGAAATATTATAATAATTATATTTATTATTATTTCTATTCAGATTAAAATATGTCTATTATTGAATGTCTAATTTAGAGATTATTTTATTATCTCAATGTTGGGAGTTAAAAGGCAACACGGTAGTAGTTCTTTCTCGTTGTAATATATTTGCATACTTATTTATTACTTTGTATTAATAATTTGTGCAGCATTACCCCTAATGTTCACCTCCGAAATGCAAGTTTTCACTTGATACAATGTATCATCTGCCACTATTTGTATAATAGATAAAAAATAGATACACTTAATTCTAGTGTATCTATTTTTTATTTATTCAACTCTACTGATTAAAGTTTTGGCGAAAAATTACGGTTCAGTATGTTCTTTAAATGATTGAATAAATATTTTATATCTTAAAATTTAACATTCAATGATATTACGATTCGATCCTAATATTTTACTAATTGTACTATATACTTATATTTTGCAACATTGTCTCTAGAAAACAATTTTCATTTGATATTATATTTTTAGACTCTTTTTTTAATAACTGTATTTGTTACAATTTCTAAATAATTAACATCTATTAACAGTAATGAACAATTATGAATTTAATAAAAAGAGCACAAAATAAAGGATAGAAATACTTTTAGTAAAGACTCTTAATCGCAAAAAAAAATTGATAAATTCTGCTTGATATCGAGCTGGTCGAACTCGACATCAAACCCGGTGCTAGTGGTTGCTAATTTTTACTCATATTATGGGGGTTACAGCCATTAGAGTAATAAAATGCATTTTTGCATGATAATTTCTGGTACGAGTACATTATTACATTCTTAATATAATGTACTTCATTCGTAAATAATTAATATCGTTCAAAAGATTTTTTTTATCTAAATTTATGTCGTATATGTGCTGGATAGAAATCCTACCAAAAGCATTAGATGAATTTTTATTTGATATTTTGGACGGAATTATTATTAATACAGAGACCAATCTTTATGCAAAAGCCTGTCAATCTTTATGCAAAATAAACGTTTATATTCAAATAAATGCGATTATGAGGACGTTGCCTTTAGCTTGAATAATTTCAGATTTATAAGTAATATTTTTGTATGAATAGTGTAATGTAGAAATCATTGGTTTCAGAAAAATAGTGAACCCAGATAAAGTTTCAATCAGAACAATTCACAAACCGTTCAAAGATTCCTGAATTGTTTTCAAATAGTAGCTGATAAATTTATATAGTTCAAGTATGAATGAATCACAATTTATTTCATAAATCAATGGTATAGTGAAATAAAAAATTGCTAGCCAAAGACAGTTTCGAGGTCAATGCGCGACATGAAAACTTTTTTCAATGACCATATAAAAAACGTTATTGTACTTTATATGTACGATTAAGTTCATGAACAAAACACATGCAATATTCTTAAGCCATAAATGCTGCATGAATATAATTTCTAATACTGGTCGAATTTTATAAATAAACACAGCAAACCTGTTTAGATTGTATGCGACTAATTTGGTATCAGCTATTTGAATAAAACTCGTATTTCGTGCAATTCAAGATTGTTTTCGTTAATGAATATGGAATTGTATCGAAAATTGTCTGTGGATACCATTTAAATGTCAATGGAATGTAAAATATTTTATTTAGTTGTATATTATTCTAATTTACTAGGATAGATTTGTCTAATAAAAACTTGTTTAGTGATAACACTTGAACGCGAAATTCGTAAACCGGATTGTTTGCGGATTTCAGACGTAAATTATTAGCGTGTCAAACCATTCCTAGAACAACTTAATATGCGTTGTGTAGTTTTTAAATTATTCTTTTGGTTCAATTACGATGATATTGCTCGTTTTATATTTAGACGTATTTTTTACGGATGTGTAATTTATGTAAACATGAAACTAATTCAGGATTTTTGATGTCGTAAAATCAGTGAATCCCACGATTTATTTATTTAGACATATTATTAAAAAAGTTTAGATATTTTATTTTTTTAGTAATATTGAATCGAAGGTTCAGCAATATACTAGAATCAGACAAACCATAGTCTGAATATGAAAGAGTAGTTTTCAATTGTTGCTCTATATTTTATCCTGTACATAATACAGATATTAAGAAAATATGTTTAGCCCGGAATACAAGTCGAGAGTAGTAAACCATCCAAAATTGCTGAGCGGAACTTTATTGAACTTTTATAGCCAAAGATCGCCTATACGAAAAAGCTTCCTTGGTGGTTCACTATTCTGATAATATTTATATTTCATGCAACAATTATTGTTTTTACCAACTGTAATCTCTTCATAGTATTAGATTTCGAATTTATTATTTACGGTATTTATTTATTTTATTTATACGTAATATATTTATTTTATTTTCCTTTTTATAACTGAACTGTGAAACGATCAACAACGAAGAGACTTATCACTTTATTTAGTATAACTTTTTTTAAAACGATTGCAATTTATTGAAGTAAAACCACTAAATTTCTTTTTTTTTCCTTATGCTCTTTGTTCTTTATGCCATGGTTAAACAAAAGAGTATGACGAAGCCGACTTAACATTGTCTAAGAGGGATTTAAAAATAATTATGATTTAGGTAATAAACTTTATTTTATGCATTTTTGAAACTTATTTCAAAAGCTTCCAAAGAAATTAATGGGAAGTCAACAAAAAATCGGAATTGTCTTCCTCATTATTTTCCAATTTTTGTAATAAATTAATCTAAATTTATTCATACACATAGTATGTATAAGTAAATTATTATAATATGTCGCATTTCCGGAAAATCACTTCTGGATTATCTTTTATAAGACCTACATTCTTATTATTAGCTCAAGTGATGATTTAAGTTATGTAAATTGAAATGAACTGAAACTTAATCCTCGATATAACTGTGGATTGCACAATCATATGTAATACGAGTTTGATACAGACACTAAAATTAATTAAAAATACTGCATCAAATAATTTACAAGACTCGTAATATTATATCATATTAAAGGTATAATTTCGTACAAAATTCCGCATGCGTAATGCTTGTTTTAATAACTGTAATAAAAGTCTTCGTTCATTTTCTATCACGTCCAGCTTAAATATTTAAATTTAGTTATATTTTGACGTAATTTTATATAAACGTAATAATTCCTGTTTTAAGACGACATATTTCTCCTAGATAAGTACCATGTGGGCGGGAAGAGATGACGTCAAACGGGGAATATAAAAAATACTCGAAGAATGCTGTTTATTTCAATATCTACTTTTGTATAGAAAGCGTGAATATTGTGTGAAATCCTTGTGAAATCTTAGAATTCGTTGTTTATAGAAAAACACCAGAGTATGAAAAGTCCGAAATATTTTTGTTACTGAGTCGATTATTTAGCTTATTTTTTCTGTGGGTTCATAGATTTGTACGAATTTCTTTTGGAAAATCTGTTAATTTTAATTAAGTTGCAATTAATATAACCTTGTCAAATTATATTGTACATATATCATAATTTTAAGCAATAATCGTATTAATAATTAACTTGATGCATTGATACTACTTTATACCTATTTTACACAATTCATTACAACCTATCAACATCATTCCACTGTAGTTACATGTCCTCATGATTTTGTTTTTAATTTCCTATTATTGGTGGAACCAAGTGTAAAGGTACAAATTTCTCAGTTTTTCTACATCTTCAGTCTACATTTGACCATCTCTTTCTTTAAATAGAATTACACCTCATCAAACCAAATATCTTTTGCTTTAATAATCACTTACTGTCCCATTTCAAAAACTTGAACCCCATTTGAAAAAGTTAATTGTACAAATGTCGAAAGGTACAAAATTGAATTTTTTTGTCACATATATTTGCACCTATAACTGATATCAAAATATCAGCAAATTTTTTGATAGTCCTTTGTAGAATGTCTAAATCGGATGTCAATCTATTGATTGGGTATAAAATTAATTCAAAGTATTGCTTTGCAAATATAAATATCGATGATAGTACATTTATTTAGTTTGAATTGAATATACTAGCAGCCCTAGAACTATTACAAGGCTGGCATAACCTCTACTGTTTTAATCAGTGTTTTTTAAACTTCGACTTTACAAAAATTTAAAATTTATTAAAGTTTTGCTCTGTATGAGTTGATGGCCGCAGAATATAATCCTCTTCAACAGTAGTGTCGGATTTTATGAAATATATTTTGGTTTTAAAAGATTCGATATGTATATAGTTCAATGACTCTGTCAAAACAATTCCATGATATCATTGTATATAGAGTACAAAATCTATTTATTTTTCAAAATTATTTTATTTAGTCTATGGTCAGCTCGTCATCAATTTATTTGATGATGGACCATTTCCTGTAACGTCTTTGAAGACACACTAAACCATAATGACAAGAACTGTGCTGCGACTGACGTCATAGAATGCAATACGCCAGTTTGCTTTCACAATTGCGAACGAATATAAATATTTAAATATTTTAAATCTAAGTGAAGGTGTTTTGATAAATGATCAGTAACAATCGTATTATAACAGGATTTTCGAGCAAATAAACACTTGGCTTGTAATTGATTCTAAAGTCAATCACCTTAGTAGATGATAATTTTTATTTAATGATGTGTTAATAATTAGCATGTATTATATATAATGCAGAAGTATATCAGTATCTGCATTCAAAATGACATATTTGCCAAATGATTAACGTTTATATGAATAATATAAAGGATCGACAGGTTTTGAAATATAATTATTTATATGGATATGTAGAATGAAGTATTTTCCAATTCATAAAATTAATGTAATAGAGGGATTTGTAGTGCTACGGTGAGGAGCCAATTAACTTCAAAGATCATTAATATATTTTCAAATAAAAATATCCTTCCCCCGGCATTACTGCATCCAATTAAATTATATATAATCAGAAAAATTGTAACCAAATTATATCAAGTATAGGATAGTCAGTGGGTTGCCCTTTAGAAAAAGCCACGTAGGACAAAAGTACCATCTAAAACAGATAATAATGAACGATTATAAAACCAAAGTGCTTCAATTGTTACTACTATTATTGGTAATATTAGTAAAAGCCATTCTTTTTCATTGGTCATTTTATTTAAATATGCACTTTCTTCTTAGTATAGAACTAATTCATTGTTTCTATATAATGATTCAAATAATCAGTGAGATTATTTGAATTTCTTCTTTTTGTAAGTTTTCTTATGGTTTTCATTTGCTTCATCTAGTTGAGGAATGTTTTTTATATGTGCAATATGATATATTTGTATTTAATGATCAAACCATGAAAGTACTGATCATTTGGATTATATTAGTTAGGAATAGTCGCAAATTTAACAATTTGTTTTACGTCATATCTTTATTTTAAGATGCAATATCTAAATAATGAACTTGCTATAACTGAAAAAGACTTTTGTGTAAAAGGTCGGAAACTTCTGTAATGAGTTTGATGGTTTGATCATTTAGAAACTGCTAAATAACTTTTAATTACAATATGGTTTGTAAGTTAACATGCGATATTCCGTACTAATCAACTCACCCATTAACCAATATCGTTCAAAAACTATATATTTTTACAATTAAGAGCAATAATACCAGAGCAAAATTATGTAATTAATCTTTTGAGCAATTTTAACAATTCTATGTCTTTGTTTGAAAATTCAAGCGTATTATAATAAAAAAAAGGTTATAAATGCACATGTGTTTGATAACGTAAGCAGAGAGAAATTATTGAAAACAAAGGGGCACACAAAACTGAACAAAATTGTGTTAGATAATATTTTTTATTTATTATATATTATATAGTTAAATTATTAATGAAGTGGATTTTACAGCTGTTTATAACAAATCCATTAATTGATAAATGCTAAATGCATATTTCGAATAATTAGTCTAAGTATTCTGTAAATACTTGAGAACGTGTTGTTTTGTAGTTTGTTGTGTCAAAGATATATTATACATCATTATTCTGCGAAAAATGAAATGAAATGATTTTTATTTGCCATGTTATATGACAATATTATTTAAATATGTTATAGATATATGGTATAGTCACTAAGATCAAACCAAATACAAAGTGGTAATAGATGGATTCATTTTTGAACCAAATACCTGCGCATTTGTCGCCTTTAATTCTGTCCATCCTATAATATTAACACTGACTTGTCTCATATATATTGGCGTCATTTCTCCACTAAAATTAAAATTGTATATAATTTTTACTTGATTTTCACTTGATTTTCAATATTTTTAACCATATGGCTGTTAAAAAAAACTTCACTATTATTTAAATGCACAAACTGATATAATTGCTTTAAGGTAATTATCTAATTTGGCTTTATCGCAAAATGGATATGAAGTAATAGCTACAGCTATATATAGGCGTAAGAAATGAAACGGGGACGTAAAAAAAACTAAATTTAATACTATTTGTCAACCTTTTATAAAATGCATTTTATTTATATATAACGCGAATTATAAAACATTTGTTTTTCAGCCACAAAAATACAAAAAATATGAGAAATTTCATATAAATATGCACATGCATGATTAGTATCAAAGTTTGTGTAATTATGTAGATCGAATTTTTTTTTTTGATTCTGAAAAGATCAAAACTGTGTAATACCTACTAGCGTTGAAGATTAGTGTATGCAATTCTTCAGTGATTGGACAAATTGTATCTTCATAATTTCTTCAAGAGTTTTCTATTATACACGTACATTTAAGAAAAAATATTATATATATGCACAACTAGTTATAAAATATAATTGAATCAGGAGCAAATTAATATGACCAAATATTACTCATTCGTATGACTAATGTATTATATGAAGAATAAAAAAACCATACTGAAGCTAAAAATATCGAGATATAAAGTAAATTAATTCTACTAGCATATTTGATTTAATTTAATGCATTTAAATTTGTTATGCACGCATATGCGTGCATTTTAATAATAGAATATGTAAATTTTATTATATCTTACGCAATGATCCAATGTATGCATTTATGCATAGATTTTCTAGACATTTAATTGAGTTTCATGTAAATCAATTGATTAGGTGAGGTCATATCATGACATCTGTCTTATTATCTTTAACCCTAATGCAATTAAATAAATCATCTTGTTTATTTAGTAAATGATTACTTATACGTTATATATACTAGTTAGTTAAGTAATAACATATCGTGATTATAGACTGGTTTATATATAGCAGATCTATTATTATATTTTCAATGAAAATGGATCTTTGTTAAATGTAGAGTAATTTTAATAAATAAGTTTTATTGCATGATTCAGGTGATCCTTTGATTAACTCTATAATATTTTACGTGTCTTATCCAATATTATTTAGACAATACGGGGTTAATCTAATTCCAGTATTGTTTATGTAAAATAATTAGTTGAACGAGTAATTGATAGAAACAATTTAGAAAATTTGACAAA